AATTATGGAGAAATTAGCTTTAGGAAAATATAATGATTTGGGTTATATTAGACCCTTATGGTGCATTAGCCATATGTTAAGAACATGCATGGACATGGTCAAGGCAACCTGCTGAAGATCAAACTGAGTGTCTGAATGAGGATGAAAGGCAGTTTCAATTACTTTAAATGTGGCATGGTTGAGTATTTCAAAATCTGGTGCTCTACTGGGATTTTCCAAAACAACCATCTCTAGGGTTTACAGAGAATGGTCTGAAAAAGAGAAAACTTCCAGTGAGCTGCAGTTCTCTGGGTGAAAATTGATGGTGTTGATGCCAGAGGGCAGAGGAGAATGGCCAGACTGCTTTGAGCAGGAAGGCAACAGTAACTGATCACTAGTAAACAATCATTCGTCAGAACTAAAGTATGCAGAATGCACACAACATTGAACCTTGAAGCAGATGGGCTACAGTGGCAGAATACCACATCAGGTGCCACTCCTGTCAAGAAACCGAGCATAACATTTGCATAGGCATACCTAAAGTGGACAGTAGAAGATTGGAAAAGTGTTTCTTGGTCTGATGAGCCTCGATTTTTGCTGTTGGCAGGGTCCGAGTTTTGCGTAAATACCATGAAAGCATCGATCCAACCTGCCTTGGATCAAGAGTTCAGGCTGCTGGTATAATGGTGTGGGAGATACTTTCTTGTCTGTGAAGGTTCTCAGTCATCCAGGTCATCGTAGTCTAAGGAGCTTGGAAAGAAAAGCGTCTGAACTTGAAGACGTTTCACCTCTCATCTGAGAAGCTTCTTCAGTTCTAGGGTCAAATAGTGGAGAGTCCCAGGTTTAAACCCTGTGGGAGTTTCCCCCCAAGAGGGACAAATCGACACCCTAATGATCCTCTACCTAATCACACGAGCCAAGGTGTGAAAACGGGTGTAGGTCACAATCAGTCAAGGTTTTGGGTGAGCTCATTGTGAAACCTGGCCCCACCCTATCATGTGATTTCCTGAGGTCAGATGCCCCGAGATGTGAGTGGGCGTTAAGGCGTCTGGGAAGGGACTGGATTATAGATTTCAGAAAGTTTGTGTCATAAGCCACCGCCTCTGTTCAAAGATGGTCGCTCACAGTGGACATAAATGGCCTCTTTTACTCCTCTTTCAAACCAAGATATTTTCTTGGCATACTTTAGGCCCCTTAGTACAAAGTGCTTTCAATTTGATTCATTACAAACTGTACTGTACTCACTATACTCAAATGGCCTCCACGGCCACCAGAACTCTTCTGCGATGTGGTGGAACAAATCTGAAGCAACTGTGTGATGCTTTCATGTCAATATAGACCAAAATGTCAGAGAAATGTTTTTATGTCCTCATCGAATCCAAGCCATGAAGAATTAAGCTAGCTTTGCCAAAGAAACAAACCGCTACTAGCAAGATGTATCTAATAAAATGTCTTGTGAACGTGTAAGAATAGTGTATTAGCTATATGTTAAGCACATGCATGCAAACCTGTATTGACAGCAACCTTCTCCACCATTTTCCTTGTTATGCCTGAGGCGATGACCATCTTTCCGAAAAGATTTAAGGGTTTATATTTTACATGACTACAGGAGGTTGCCCAAGTAAATAGCCATCATTTTAACCACCCCTTAAGAAATACAGATGATTATTGTTTTTTGATGTTTTGATAGGGCACCTGAAGTGGAACATGAAGCATTATATATACTGTATGCACATCTGTAGCTATTTCTGTGCATATGTTTCTTCCATCTGCAATTCAGAGTATACATTTCCACATGAACAGTTACTTCAAATACACACTTGTAAACAGCTGGGACTTGTATATATCAAGTATTTTACAAAGGAAAGGAAATGAAACGAAAAAGAGAAAATGAACTGTAAGTACATACTGAAACACCCCTCTGTGTCCACTGTTATTTGAATCAACACCTCTGTGGTAATAATATGTGTCAAATGAAAGAGATGGCTTATACACCCATGAGACAGGCTGCACAGCAACAGACATGCGCTGACATGAAGGAATAGGGTCATACAGGCAACGAGGGCATCAGCTTGAAGCTTGAGTGGTTCTAACTAACTAGTCTTCTAAGAAGAGTCCCTCTCAGGAGTGAGCATGCTATATAAATACTTCATCATATCAGAATATTTTAATGAATGCTCCGGTGTGATTCAAGGCTAGGTTCTCTTGAACCATAGTCGGTTTTATTATTATTTCATTATTATTATTAATATTATGAAGTAATGTGTTTTTCGTCTAATTTTGTTTGCCAAAGACTTTCTCGAGATAATTAGAGAATCGTTCATTTTGATTCATTAGTTTTTATCAGATTGACGTTGTTTAATGAACTTCAAACATCTGGGAAAGGTTTGATGGAACAGCTTCAATTAGCACCCATGTAGTATGTCTCAGAAAGTGTGAAAGTGTAAAGTATTGAAGCTGTGCTTCTGCCATCAGATAATCAAGCAGAGTACAATTATGAGTATGAAATGGATCAGGGCTATTAGCCGCTTGTTCAGCAGGGGTGTTGTGTCAGCTGAAGGGGAGATATGATAACTTCTACAGGTATCTCAGCGACTATTAAAAGGAAAGGACAGTGCAGCCTGAATGTTAAATCCAAATCTGAGCATGGCAGTGCATAATTTGAATGAACTTGTTAACATTTAAATACAGGGTAGAGTCGCATTTGTTGTCCATTAAAAATCTTCACACCTTGGCCTGAAGTGTTAAGACATGCTCTTTCAGTAAACGTACATGCAGTTTTGAGCTGCTAGCTCAAAGACTGTCCTTGTTGAAGAATGGTCAAATATCCTATTATGCACAGTTCAGGACCTGTGATTTGATCGTAATACAAGGGGGATTATGGCTGCTCTGAATGCATAGGTTTGCTTTACTTCTTAATATGAAGGTGATAGTCAACTAGGGCTGCCACGATTTGTCGACTAGTCACGATTACGTCGACTATCAAAATCGTCGACGACTGATTTAATAGTCGACGTGTCGTTTGAAGCTTTGTAAGATCGCAAAAGACGCAGGAATAATAGCAGGATTTAAGAGTGTAATAACGGACTGAAACAGAAGATGGCAGCACAGCATGTACAAGGATGCCAGCTGCCGTTAAACCCCGAAGAAGAAGAAGCAGCTGTGTCCCAGAATTCATAGCGCGGCCCAGCTTAGTTTCCAACAATGGTGGTAGCTAGTTAGTTTTAATCTTATTATTCTTTCTGGGTCACAAAATAAACGTTTAACATATTTTCAGGCGAGAATGTAGCTGTGTAAACCTCAAATATCTGCTCAGTTTATCAGGACACCACATATTTTCAAAAGCGCTCCGACGTTTTCGGAGATGTCTGTTACCCACTAGCTCGATAGCTAGCCGGGGGCTAGGTCACTAGCGCCGTGAGAACACCGGACTCCCGGCAAATTGTTTTCAAACCCACCGCCGTCTTTCGCGACTCAGGTTAAATATATATGAGTCACTTAGATAAATTAAAAATGTTGTTGTTTGGCTTTTTTTTAGTATTTTATTTGTTCCTGAGTAAATCGGTTTGGCTGAGATTAAAGTTATAGTTTTTACACAGCTGAATAAATGTCAAGCAGACAGCTGATTATCAGAAGTGTGAGATGCTGGAGAATATACTCCGGTGTCCTCTTATATTTTAGATAGCAAGGAGTTTATTAAACTTTACCGAAACAATCTGCAAATTTCATTAAAATTGAATAAACTATCATCTTGTCTTTATTTTTAGTTAGCACCTTAAAAGCTTAAAGCTGTAAGCTAATGATAGTTATATAAGAGCAGATGCTGCTGGTGCAATAAGCTGTAGTTTTATGTCCAGTGGATGATGATCTGATTAGTCGACTAATCGCATAAATAATCGGTGACTAGTCGACTATCAAAATAATCGTTTGTGGCAGCCCTATAGTCAACATATTGATGGGGGAGGGTTTTTTCCTGTCACTCTCTCCTTCTCTTGTATTTTCCTTGTGTGTGAACATTGCGCTGTGTTTATCCAAGGTTCACAAGTGGCATGAAACAAGGCAAAATTGTGATGGAAGGGAACAAGCAAACTGGGTTACGCCAATGGGCTACGCCACTGTCTGCCAGTGGCAGACCTGAATGGCATGGCAGACTGCCAACAGCTATTTATTTTATCCCCTGACATAGATATCTTCCCCCAGGAAGCTTTGCCATGGCAATTGTTTCACAAAGTGAGGTGTTCTCCCTCCGCAAGGTATATGAGAGGGTGGCCAAATGATACTATTTTCTTGCACAACTAGTGAGCAGCGGTAACAGCTTCTTCTGGGAGCCAAACGGTGTATGGGGAAAAAAAAGAGGCTTATCATTCATGAGAACCGTGAACCCAGCACTAAGTCACATGCAATTGCTTTAGTGATGTACAATCAGACAGCGAAAGAGAGAGAGAGCTGTAACTGGAATGACAGAATTATCTCATGACTTAGTGTTTCACAGAGGGGGTCTCGGGGCGTTCACGGTCACTGTGCCAGAGCTCTGACTGCAGCCTGTTGTAAGATAATAGTGTTAATTTTGATAAGAATAAAGGGAAAGAATTGAGAGGGCAATTTCTTTAGGAAACCATTAATGTAATCTTGTGTTGGATTAATTCTTGAGTGAATCAGGAGTGCTGTGAGGGCCAGTGTGGAGTTTATTCACAAAGTGTCCCCTCCTAATCTGCCGCTTTAAAATGTAAAATGCAATTAAAGACGCTCTGCCTGACTAACCGGGGATACATCAGCGAGAGAACACGCTCGACCTGACTGGGGATTGCTGCTAAACTCATAGAGAATTATCAGCCTTATGTGTTATATCCTAAGCTTCACTTCTGTGTACTTACATAGCTACTTACATTGGACATTTTGTTTTTCATTTTAATCGTTACAGCAGTGGAATCTAGCTACATTTCCGGGTCTTTTGCTGAGTATAACTAATTGAGTATCTGAGTTTCACTAACTGCCTGCGCAACTTTCTTTATTTCTTGCAGAGTTGCACTTCTCACGGATCGTCTGTTAAGGGCGGCAAAGTGGCACCAGGGGCATCAACAGTAGCTCCACCTATTCTCAGCAAAGCACTGTCTAAAGGGAAACGCTTCAGGTACAATTATGACATGCTCTTTTTTTTTTCCTGCCCTGTTTCATATCTGGGGCTGAGTCAGCATGTTTGAGCCATAAGGGGCAGTGAGGTGAAAAATTTAATCATCCCATGTAGTGTAATATGTATATCGTCGAGGCCGCTAACAAAAGAAAACAGATCACATACACATAGAGGTTAGATCTTATATCTGCGTGCATTTTATTGTATGATTATTGGTTCAGCGAGCATGACATAAAAAAGAAAAAACAGAGTAGAGGCTGTCAAGCTAGTTGAGGATGGAGACGTCTTTATTTACATGGCATTCAAGTAAATTGTTCAAAGTAATTAAATGTGTCCTCGGGCATCTCCTGAAATGACTAGTTGAACGCAGATAGGAGCGAACATAATAACACTCCTCCAAGGAGAAGTGAATTTAATGTCCAGAGTTAAACACTGACTCAGCCCAATTTTTATGCCATCCTTCAAATGACAGAAGATTCAAGGAAATGAACAGCGTTTTTGCTTTTTGCTACGAGGGATATCGCAAGCAGGGTTGCTTTGTGATCACAGCACTCAGTACCAAATGCTGCAGTTTCCAATCCTCAGAAGAACACAGGGATGTGGATATAGGCCGCGCTACAATGGCCTCATCTGAGCTGTTTACAGAGACGTTTCATTTGCTTTGATGATATGGATGCAGGCACACTTTGACAGTTAATGCTATTCAGTCACACGACATGTAAGCCTGCCATCTTTTCAAAGAAGTTTATTTTCCTTAGAAGCTATTACACGGATTGTTGATCCTCATACTTGTTGCCTGTTACCTGAGATGATTGGTACCAAATCTGAATAACAGTGTTGGAGCTGCACATTATGTTACAATGCAAGATATAGCACTGTGCAAAAGTCTTGAGCCACCCTTTTCTTTGTATTTTTGCGTGGGAAATGGTACATAATTGCAGTGATTAAAACTTGCAAACATGCATGGAAATGAAGCACAAACAGGCAAACGCAAGGCTTTCTAGCTTCTTTCAGGAGTCTTCAAAAATAGTTCTCCAGGCTTGTTGAAGGAAATTCAAAGCTCTTCTTTGGATGTTGGCTGCCTTTTGTTCTGTTCTCTGTCAAGATGTTCCCACTGCTGCAGTATTATTGAGGTCTGGGCTCTGGCCAGATCAGTCTATGACTGATAGTGCTCCATTGTGTGCTCTTTCTTTTCAGGTATACTTGAACTTCACTGGGAATATGTTTTGAATCATTTTCATGCTAAAATATAAAGCCGTTTCCAATCAGATGCTTTCCAGATGGTATTACACGCTGGATTGAAATGTAATTATTTTTCAATCAGTTTTGACAAGATCGGCAACGCCACTGGCTGAAATTTAGCCCCAAACCACCACAGAGCCTCCACCATGTTTTAAAGATGGTTGTAGACACTCAATGTTCTGGATCTCCTCCATTTATACTGGTTAAATAGTTCTAATACTGTTTTATGACTTGTCAAACTGCATTAGCGTTCACATTTTCCATAGATTCAACAAAAGAAAGGGAAGCAAATTATCTATTTTTGCAACTAGCTGCAAATAGTTTTTTGCCAAGTTGTTATGTGTGGACAAAATGCTGATTCACCCCTTGAGTCAGGTGCCTTTTTTATGCTTGAATGAATTTATAGGTCAGTGTTGTGGCTAGACAAAAAAACCACCACTTTCATAAAATTACAAGAAAATCTGGCTCATTAAAAGAGAAATAGAAAGAAATCGGGGTGACTCAATACTTTTAAACACAACTGTTGTGCATAAGTTTTAACATATTTATTTAAACCCTCATTATTTTTGGTTTAGCGTGATGGATTTTCCATATTCTGCATCAAAAGCACAGAATACAGAATGTACAGAGATTAAAAGAGCCTATGTTAGGGTAGAAAACGGTGAATGGCGAGCTTGTCTCTATATACCGAGGAAGGGTTTTTTTTATGTGTGGCTGACTGCGATGCCACCTTTAGTGAAAGCCCCACTGTGGCAGCAGTTATTCTGTTTTAATGGACCAGTGCTGTGTCAAAGAGGAAAGTTTTTTTACAAAAAAAGGTTGTCATATGTGGCTGCGGGGATGGTACCATCTCCCTCTGGTGTTTTATTCTCCGCAGTGTCGTGCAGGTGCCTCATGAAGGGCAGCTGACAGTCAATCATCTGTTCAGCTTGCTCTCAAAGTAGGCCGAGGCAGGGGAGAACTAGACTGTGATGGATGATGTTGAGATGCTTTCAGCTATTGACCTGAAAGTGGACCACAACGTGAGCTATCAGGAGAACTGCACCATAAACATGTGTCAATATGGCCTATCAATACTGCTGAAAATGGTTACCTGTGTCTCATTGGTTTATAATTAGGCTGGATTATATGCAAACTGATTCATTTGTAATGCAGATTGCCTCTGTTGAGCTGAGATTTTGTTAAATGTCACAATACGATTCTAAAACAGCTGTAACGTAATCTTTAACCAACTTAGCATTAATACGTTAGTGCGTCTGAACCTTCTGTAATTAGCATTAAGCACATTTAAGGCTGACAGGATTTGTTGTTTTGCACAAGCAAACGTTATCCTTTAATACACGTCACCAAAGGCATTAGCAATATCTTGCCTTGCAGTCAATGGAAATGTCTGCAATAGAAGATATTTGTTTAAAACCCATAAATATCATCCAACGTTTGCACTAGTGGAAAATCCAGAAGATCTTATCAACATTTTTGAAACATGGTTTGTTGCAGAGAGCTTCTCTGTGAAAAATAGTTAGGACAGTCTTCTTCAAAAAAGACAGGTGATTGACTGAACCATCTGCGCAATAGCCCCACCATGGACTAAACTCAAACAGCAGATCAACAAGCCACAGGACAACCAAGGAACATCAATGAGGGGAAGAAAACAACAGATTCGGAAGACCTTGAAAGCTTTGAAAGCTAGCAAGATTTCTTAAAGAAAATATGCATATAAAGGACTCCTAAAGATACTTAACAAATACTTTGTTAGGTGATTACATATAAGATCCATTATTAAAGGTAAACCAGACCTTTAGTTGACCTTATACACCCCATAGTTCCTCATAGGACTCCCATTTCACCGACTTCAGTGCGCCTTTGATTGCATGCAGTAGTTGACAAACTTAGTAAGATGGATTCTCTGGTGATTATGAATCTCGTGTGAATCCAGATCTCTTGTAAGGTAAATCAACTTAAGTAGAATTAATCCTTTGAGGACTACCATTGCAGAATGAGAAGGGCAAAAACGGATCGTTGAATGAAACGGATGAACCAGAATTGGTTTGTAAAAATGCTGCAACCTCAGTGGTGTGGAATTGGTTTAGCTTTCGTCCGTCAGATACACACCAAAGCACAATTTTTGGTAGAGCATGCAAGTAGGCCGTCGTTATTACCGTGTTTTTCAGAAAATACGGCACACTTAAAATCCTTTGATTTTCTGAAAAAGCGACAGTGCCCCTTATAATCCGGTGTATGAATTCTGGTTGTGCTTACTGACCTTGAACCGATTTTATGTGATACACGGCGCTCGAAAATCTGTCAAAAAATGTTTTAGTATGACTTTGATAAGCTATGAAGCCGCACCGCTTGATGGATTGTCGGAGCATTACAGGTATCGTAGGCAGGAGCCTCGCGGAGTGATACGTACTGTGCTTCAACGTATTGTGTTTGTATAACCTCTTTTTAAGTTTTGTGGATATTATACATGGTTATGCTGAGGATATGTCGGCCAATTTTCACTGGAAATGGTTAAACTGTCAGCAAGGAATTTGCATTAAAAAACAGCTGCTTGTTTAAGTGAAAATACATTGATAGGTTTTTTGGTTTTGTTTTTTTGCACTAATAAAGTTGCAGAGTTGTAAATTATTTTGTCCCGTGTTAATTATATCATCAGTTATATCGTTATCGCAAATTTTCAATTTATATATCGTGATAAATATTTTTGCCCATATTGCCCTGTCATACTCAGCCTATTCGTGGGTATGCTGCCTTTGATGGCAGCTGGGAATTTCTGACTCCAGAACTGAGATTTTTCAGCCCTGATTTCCATGATTTAAGTCATTCAGCCAAGAATAATTGGCATTACAATGCTGGTTAAATATGAACTTAAAACCTTGTGCCATGTGTTATCTAGCACATCAGCGCCAAAAGCAATTAAATCTTTATTTTGTTCACCTGATATAATATTTGACAAAGGATGTATTGAGCTTGTTTTTCCTGCTCTTCTGCTCCTGCAGTTAAATGAACTACACGCCTGTTGATTGCAGAAAAAAAGCTCAAGGCAACCATCGTTCATCAAATGTTTAGAGGGCAAAAATCATTTCGATTCGTAACTTCGCACTTGCGTGTCCTATTGAATGCGGTAATATGTACGAGTTGCTTTGATGAAAACAGTGGACTCCTGCTGACACAAGTCAATTGCTGTTTTCACTTAAATTCAGTTGATTACAATGATTCCTTTGTCATGATGGTATTATGAGAAAATTGTAGTAAGAAGCCTAATCAATGTGCTGAAAGCCGCCACGTGTGGCTTGTACATGTTGAGTAGGGGACATAATCAGTATCCATAGTGAATATCAGAAGTGCTATGTGGGTGTTTCCTGCTGGTTTAGTAGAAAATGGTGTTTACTCTGAAAATGTGGCATACTTTTTCCATTTTTTTAACTCACCTCAGGTTCTTTGTCACATGCCATCCCCCTCTGTTTTCCTGCCGTTTCTCTCTCTCTGCGATATGTCCGGTAAAGGCATTAACAGAGGGAGGAAGTGGTTTAAATAAGTACTGGATTACCCTACCAACCAGGCTTACCCATTTAACATCAGGGGGTTGCACAGTCTTGTTGAATTGTGGAGATAAGCAGCTGCCTTTCCGTTTTAAAAGGTTCAACTTTTATCATTCAGTAATTACAACAGCCCCAAAAAAAATCATGTTTTCATGTTTTTTCCAGTTAATCCTAATTAAAAAAAAATCAGCACGCTAATAGCCAACAAAACGGACAATATTTAGCTGTATTCATATCAACTTTTTACAACATCAGTCGATATAAAAGCCAGCAAACACTAGAGCCAACATTGTGTATGCTTTTTGTTCCACAGCCACGGACATCAGCAAATTACTGTAGCAGAGCGTTTTTTTGTTGTTGTTTTTTTCAGTGTTCCAGTGGTTTATCAATTATTAAGCAGTCATCCACTGGACTGCATGAAAGAAAAGGAATCAGGGAGTTCAGTTTAATGACTGGCAAGAAAATCCTAAAGTTTGAACATCTTGATTACTATTTCAATAACAAGAAGAATCAAACAATGCAGCACTTCATACACAAGCCATTTTTGTGCTGCGCCAAATTATTCAAGAGCCAAAATCAAGCTGTGAGAGCGTGTGGTGCTGATTTTTGTTTAATGGTTCAATACAAAAAAAAGTTATTTACACGACAATAATAATATGTTTCAGCTCTTTTCAGTGGTTCAGATTAACTAGCACAATCAACTGACATATTGATCACAGAGGATTTGCTGGTAAGCAACGATCAGGGTAGCCACGGTGTCTTAAAGAAATTCATAATAACATCAAAATAATTGAGTGTATTTTGTGATTACATATTCATTGGGATCTGTTTGTCTTTGCATGATGTGCTCACACATCAGATTGCATTATGGCTCGGTGTACCTTGGATTTAATACCATTGCTTCATTACTGCAGACATCCAGGGATCTGCTTTGAGGCAGACCACCTACTGCCCACAGACCAATTTAAAAACTGTGTGCCTAAACAGGAAGCTCAGTCTCTAAAGGCAGCTGCTTCTATCATTAACAGCAGTAGAATATCAGTATGTAAGCTAGAGGTCATTTTCAAGGTGCAGGATAACCCCTAACAATACATGGCATTTATTTGAAGTTCACAGAAAGAAAACACTAAAGCAGTGTTTTCTATATGTTCTGGACGATAAAGGTCTGTATGGAAACTTCGTTAGCATGTTAGCACTTGCTTAACCATGCTAGTGCATGGCTCTTTGGATTAAAATGACACTTTAAAATGTAACATTAAAACTGTAAATTATCCTGTAATTTGCGTTGAATGGCTAAATCAAAAATTATGGAAATAATCAAATTCTACAAGTAGGAGTGACATTGTCTTCTTGGTGATTCCCAGCTTCCAGCATCCATCACTGACAATAAAATGTGTAAACACAGATGTTAATTCAAAAATGATTGTTTAAAATGTTGAATGTTCGGTCCATGAATCCATCCATCCATTTTCTTCCGGGTGAAGCTCGCAGGGGCCACAGGATAAGCAGAGAAGCCCAGACTGGCCTCTCCCCAGCCACCTCCTCCAGCGTATCCGGGGGAACACCAAGGCGGTCCCAGGCCAGCCGAGTGATATAATCTCTCCAGCATGTCCTGGGTCTGCCCAGAGGTGGGATATGCCCAGAACACCTCACTCAAGATGCGCCCAGGAGGCATCCTTGTCAGATGCCTGAACCACCTCAACTGTCTCTTTTCGATGTGGAGGAGCAGCGGCTCTACTCTGAGCCCCTCCCGGATGGCCTAACTCCTCACCCTGTCTCTAAGGGTGAGGCCAGCCACCCTTTGGAGAAAGCTCATTCCCGCCGCATGTATCCGCGATCTAGTTCTTTCAGTCACTAACCAAAGCTCATAACGATAGGTGAGGTTACTCAAAGAAGGCTTCCCTATTGCTGTGTTGAAGAATAAAGGTGGTCGTACCAAATACCAACTTAAAATATTGACATTAAAAACCAGGAGAGACTCAAGACTTTTGCACTGTTTCCTCTCAAGCAGCAAAGGGTTTTTCATTTAAGCATGTATGTAAAAAACTTTTTATATTAATCTTTTAATTCTAAAGCAGCCCTCAAAGTACATGAAAAAGTATGTGTTTAATAGTGTAACACACCTCTCCTAGAATGCACCGCAGTATGTACACAGCCTCTTCTCCGGCACCTGGTTCGAGGCAAAATCTCTGTGAGATTTGTTCAATAAAACCCAGGGAGAAACTAGTCCTGCATCTTTACATTCACAGGCAACAAAAACAGAGCATCATCACACTGCTAACCTCCACATTTTCCTTGGGATTAGACCTTTTCACAGCACATATTGCAGGGAAAGCACGGGTGTATTTTTGTAATATGAAAAAACAGCTGCATTCTTCGTAGGTGAGCCAATTCCAAGAATGAATGAACGAATGCTTGGCATGAAAACCATCTTTCTATGCTACATGTGCACTTTGTGAATGTGAATTAATCTAAGCCCCCTTTTCAACAGGTAGAAGGGAGTGAAAAAAAGAAAGCGTAGGGAATGCATACTAATCTTGAAATTAAAACATTTACACTAAAGATATTTTTTGGAGGGGGGTGGCGTTTCAAGCGCTTTCGCGTTTCCCTTTAAGACACAGCTTGAGATTTCTCCCATAGTTCCTTCCCTCCTCTCTTGCGGGTGTGGGAAGAGTGTGGAGTTTGCATGTTATCTCTGTGCCTGCGTGGGTTCTCTCTGGGTGCTCCGGATTCCTCCCACAATCCAAAGCATGTTAGGTTAATTGGTGATTTTAAATTGGCCATAGGTGCGAATGTGAGGTTGGATGTTTGTCTGTCTGTCTGCATTAGCCCTGAGATAGACTGGCAACCTGTCTGCCGTGTACCGAGCCTTTCAGCCTGAATTAGATAAGCAGATGAAAATGGATGGATGAATGGAAATGATTCCATTCTTATGTAAATTGTATTGCTTATTGATAACTTACGATTCCTTTCACGTGTATCTGATTCATCTGTCTCATAAGCTTCGATACCAGGGTAATTTCCGCGTCGAGTCAATTGAAGGTGGGATTGGATTTTGTTTTTTCCCCTTTCAAGTCTCAAGCACAAAGGTCGATTTACTCCAGACCATTTTTACATCATGAAACCCTAGAAAGGACATCTATAGCTGATACAACAGATGAATTAGTGAACGGTCTTTACCTAATGATTTTGACCCATCTCTTTTGCATGCTGTCTGGTTTCAGGAGTAGTTCGCTCTCACTCAGCCCAGCCCTACAACGGAGAGAGACTAATTACTTCAGGACTCCACCCATTTCCAGAGGGAAACACAAAATACCCACAAATCTTATTGACGGATCCAGAGTGGCGGGGCATGTCTACAAACACTTGCAGGAGGATGAGTCATCGGACATGGAGTCCATAAGAAGGTGAAACTATTTCTTTGTCTCGTTATTAGTTTTGTCATGTTTGTTTGAGCCAGCAAAGAGGAAATTCTCTTCGCCTCCCTCCACGCCGAGGTCAAATAGCCGGTTCAGTGATACAGACCTCTGGACTAACTAAGGTTAAGTCGGAGTGGCAGAGGGATAATTTAGGGAGAAATGAGTTTATGACTGGAAGACTCTCAGTTCAAATCCGTGAACCAGCCTATGAAATGTGATCCAGGGAAATAAATGAGATCTGCAGTGCCCCCCCTACCCCCCTCCTCTTTCAGCTGGGACTGTCACAATTAATTTGGAGAACACACTTGATCCCAAAAGCGCAACAGTATCATGGTGCTGGGAAAGATGTGTGTAATCCTCGCTGCCACTGGGCTGCTGCTGTGAATGAAAATTTGTTTTATCTGCATGTTTTAACAGGGTTAAAAATACAACGGCTGTGCCAAAGCTAATTACCAAATGATGCACGGGTTCACACGAATTTCTAGCTATCCAAAACGGTTTGATTTTGGCTAATGATCAAGCATGGGAAGCATCATAGTTCACATATCAACAAAATGATTAAATTTCTGTAATTTACAAGCTGAGTATAAAGTACATTAGATGACTGCGGCCTCTTAGAACAGGCTACATGTTGAAATGGATTACTTCCAGGCTTTTGCACATCTTGAATTGCCCCCATGCTCCCGCTGATGTCGAGTGAAGCGAGCTGGCCTATTTTGACGGCCATCCCGAGCGAAGCGCAGTTACTGGTGCTGTTTCAGGAGGCATTCGAAGCGAGAGGGACTTTTGGCACAGCCTAGTCTGCAGACTTAAAACACATTTAAAAAGTACAGACTGGTCACGCTTGCTAAAATGTGATGTGATGTGAAATCCTCTCTGACATACTGATTTTTTTATGTTAAAACAAAGCTTTTCGCATTAGTTATAACTTTTCTTTTGCCCTTTTTTCAGGCTGATTGTTGCGTAACGACCACCAAAGACGGAAAATATTTATCACTGAGGTGCTTGTATTCCTCGGTGCATTGATGCATAATGTCAAGCAGCTCCACTGGCATTTCTCCTTCAAAACACTGTAAACATTAAATAAGTGTAGGTTTTATTTACAGATGCAGACAAGAGCATCTTAATCCTGCGTAAGACAGTCCTGTTTAGCATATGACTCAGAAGCAGCCTAATTTGCTGTCACTGTGTGGAACTTGAGCAATAGCACTGTTAACAGAAACGTCTGTCATTAAAGCAGCAGTGTCCCCTGTGCATTTCACACACTTTAAAGTGCCTAGCAATGTTCCTATTAGCATGCCAACCTGATTGAGCATTACAGTAAGTTACACTGCAAGCTGCCAAACTCTTTATGTGACCTATTTCCATAATTTACATTTTTAAACAAAGCTCCACGGAGCTCAGCAATTCTTTCAAATGGTTGTGCAGAAAGATCCTTCAGGAGCAGTTTCCCTCTAAACACACACACACTCACAAACATGCACGCTCGCACTTATAAGGAGTAACGAAACACACTAATAAAGAAGCTGACGAGAATTCTTTTTCACAACGGTGAAATCTGTAAAGCTATAGGCAATTAAAACTGCCGCGCTTTGTCAAATGTTTAGGAGAGGAGCTGAAATAGGAGGGCTTGTCATCTTCTTGGGGATAAAATTGCATTTGTGTAGTAACAATTTAGATCTCATTAGCCACTGATAATTCCCCCACACATCCATCACTCAAATATGGCTTTCGCTGGCCTTCTGGTGGTTGAAATGACCTATTTCTCGACTTACAAGCCACGCAACACCAAGCTTACAGCCCTCTCCTCCTCTTCCTCCTCCTCCTCCAGCCCCCATGTCTCCCGTGTTGCCATGGATACACCCTCTCATCTCTGGAAATGAGAGACGGGAGGTGGAAAGGAGAGTGAGAGAACGCGAGAGGGGAAAGTGAGGAAAGGAGGAGGAGGACTGAGCCGAGAAGTAAAGATGGAGGCACCGAGTCCGGCGCGGTGGAAAGTGCTAATAAAGAGGCGAGAACCACAAACAGACGCGAGAGCACTCTTCTACGTTTTCCGTTTTGTGACAACAAATCCCCACAGAGTATTGTCAGTTTCATCATCTGGTGTCAAAACATATTTACCCATCACGGTTAGCGGAGGAATTGAAAGCAAATTTGCTATTGGAGTTATTTTTAGGTTTTGTTTTGATCTGTCGGATTTACCTCCAGCTTGCTTTTGCCCTTCTAATACCAAGGGTGGGGGAGGAGGGTGGGGTGGTAATTCAATTTTTTAAACTTGGTTACGCTGCCAACAATCTTTCAAGGCTGACAATAACACTGGATGCGATTCTAAATGGGAGTCGAGGCTTCAGTAACAACTTTAACAAACATACACAAACTTGTCCACTTGACTCCAGATAAGTTTCCCCTCTCTGCCGTGTTACTGTCATGGCCGACGATAATGCCTTTCAAGCTTATCTGCTTCCGCTCTCTACGTTTGAAGGAGGATGCATCATCATGCAAATGCACCTGCTGAGACTTACTCCCCCGTTCAACCCTGCTTAATGTTACATCGTGGGCCCATCTGATTAGTTGCTTGCTGTGTGAAAACTACAATAAAATGAAATTAGAAGCCGTGTGAAGCCGTGTATTGTTTCTACATACAACAGTCACACAGGGCGGGTCAGGAATCCACCTGCTGTACTGCTAAAGCCTTAAATCTCTGATAAGGCTGTGATGAGCAGAGGGATTTCTCAGTTAAACATTCATGCAGCAACAGTAGACGCCGCTCATGCCAAGGATTATACATAATTACACGTAGATTATGAAACAACAATACCTAAATAGTGATCATTTTGTTTGGTACAAGATATTTTTGTGCCGGTGTGAAATGATACGGTGAAGCCTTGACAGACTGGCATCTTTCTAAAACACAACGAATGTCATCTTGGTGTTCTAAATATGGAAGGTAACTTCGTATTCTCTATTGCTCGGGCTTTTCTATTCATTTAAAATTAGGAAAGTGTCTAAGATGAAAAGGTCAAATTATAAATGACTTCCTCACCCTGACATTTCCATCCTTTTCTCTTTGCCCAAAGGTGTGATTCTGCCGGCGGAAGGGTCGGCGCCCTCCTGAGCAGGACCTCACTCTCTCACTTCACAGCCAGGAAAGGATGGACTGAGGTTCCCTGCACCCGCCTCGATAAAGGTACGACCTTCCTGCCACCCTCCCTCCGCACCCGATCTGTGCCCATCATCCCTTCGCTCCAAACGTGTGACCTTGAGGCCGGCCACCCGGTCACGAGTGACCGGAACCAAGCGGGGCTCTTCAAGTGGCACCCCGTGCTGGCTGGAAAGACGGGCCTTCCCGTTAGCAATCCTCCCTCTCCCCCTGAAAGCGTCGTGCTGGCGACCAGTGTCATGCCCAGCAGCGTTAGCCCCCCCGCCGCCGCCGCTTCTCTCCTGGGGTTGGAGAAGAATCTCGGCTCTCCTCAAACACCCTGCTCCTTTGAAATTACAGTGGAACTCGCGCAGGAGTTAAAACAGAAAAGCCTTTGCAGCCCCATGAAAAGGTCTGGGTCTCACAGTGAGATCCACCACGGTGGCACAAACACTCTTGAGAAGACGGCACGGGAGTCAGAGGGGAAAAGTGTCCAGTATTCCCCCAGAGTTCTGCACACAGGCAGCGGGACCAGAGGATGGAAGGCAGCAGGCCAAAGAGGAACCCGGGGACAGTGCCAAGGTCAGACATCTCTTGTGTACGGAGGAGCAGACTTGGCCACCAAAGGACCCATCTGCAGAGGAATTGGAAACACTTATGCCAAGCCCTCTGCGAGCTGATTGGATTAACTCTGTAAAGAGAAGACACCGTTTCCAATAAATGTATACCTTTGCTGGTGGCTCAGTATGGCTAGCAGGTGGGACCATCTGTGTGGCCACATGGACCAATAACAGATGGCCATCAGTTTTCGAAAGAACACGAACAGATTGAATTCCCGAGGGGGGAAAAATATTGACACAAAAGACATCGAATTACAAAAGGAAAAGAGACAAACAAACACACATTGTGAATAAATGTGACTCAAAAGGAAAACAAAACCATGACTTGAGTGGGAGCTTGACTTAAACAGTGTATTGAAAAAAATGCCACTATTACAAGGAGCTTCTACTTAGAAACCAAAATAGTGTGTTATCTCTATGTTGTTTCTCTATTGTAAAGAAATGAAATTATATATGTCATATAATATATGTCATATAGACATATATATATTTGACATACAATTGTGACAAAATAAAGACTAAGATAACAGTGTTAATTATGGGCTTTATTCATCTTAATCCATTTTCGTGACTTAATCGGCATTCTGAAATAAATCTGGACAAATATCGAAGTCGAGTCGAACGATTACAAGTAACGACAAAGCTGTCAGGAGATCGTTGCATTTGTTGGAAATACATCAGATTTCAAACATACGAGTTCTCTTTGCTGCACTTTCTACTGTATGTGAAACTGTAGTTGCAAATAAGCAGGTAGTTGAAAATAAACAGGGTATCACCAGAAAATGCAGGAAGCACCAAAAACAAGATTCTTTATAAGTAAAGCAGTGCACCATGTTTGGCTGCTTTAGTAAGCCATCGTGCAGCCTTCTGGTCTCTTGCTGATGGGATTTTGCCAGACTAAAAATGGCAACACTTGCTGTTGTTTTTAAAGTTTGTAGTTGTTAACTTGGGAGCCCGTTTTAATGAACTTATTTATATATTGCCATTAAGTAAGCAACAACTACAGCTGGGCCTGTGGATAGACTGTCACAGGGCTGTCACTAAGTGTTTTGTGAGGGATTATCCGTCCTTCACAATGGAAGGGTCAAGTTGGTTTAGGTACTGTATGTTCAGTAATCCGCTTGTCGAATGATAATATATCAAGCTTTTGCTGGTTCCAAGCTCCTACTTCACTTGTTTAAGCTGTTGGCTTTTTAACGTGTTGCAATCCTTTGTTTTATTTAACAGAGGAAAGCCCTCTTACAGATGTGCGACACATCTTTTTAAAACTCTACAGCCTTTGGGCTCACAGTGTCCAAGACAACAAATACTTGAATGCTTCAGAAAAGATTTCAGTGTTCGCTTAAGATTACAACTTTGGCATAGCGAGTAATTCAAACCACACAGTAACAAAATGATGACCAACCCAATGGATCAGTTTTTTTAAATACTGAAGTCAGAACAGTATCGTGCATCACCTTCAGACAAAAACTAGTGAGCTAACTCCTCTTTTTCAAATGTTAAACGTAATATTTTATCATTTTATTGGAACTGATTTGTTTTTGCAAACCATGGGAGCTTTTGGGACTAGAAATCAAACTTAATAAGTGTATAAAGGTTCTGGTTTGGTTCAGTGAAATTCTATTTATGTAGCTCACTGGTTAACAATAAAGGCCTTCTTAATATGATAAAGGTGTTTTGTTAGTACACAATCCAACAATCACACTTTTAGCAAGCACTTGGCAACTGCGGGGAGGAAGAACTGCCCTTAAACAGGAAGAGCAAAAGACAAAACACAGATAAAAAGAGCATTGGGGGTAACAAACATGGCAAAACACAAACTAAACTATAAACTTCAGAGCACAGCTAAGCTGCTACTACTGCTCTTGCTACAAGTGCTGAACCATATCAATATTACCACAGCCCTTTACCTCTGAGGCATATAACCAAACACCTTCATACCCTCTGATGTTAAAATGAAAGAGATGACTGGTGAACTTGCCAGTGTGTTATAGTTGGAGCCACAACCACGAAACTTCAAAATATAGAGAGTGGTATAGGAGTATTGATTGCCGTATCAACATACAAAGTTTCCGTGGTGATGAATGGTACCTTTCCCTTTAAATCTAAAATTTACTGTTTTTTGGTTGGTGTTTTTTGCTTGTGCATGTGTGTGCACGCAGGTTTTCCATAATGGATCTCACAAAAAAATATGTAAATTGAGCCGAGGATAATGGGGAAAGCTTTGGTAATGGAACGATTGTGTATGTGAAGAAAAAGGTGACTCAGATACTGTGAATGATAAGAGTTCTTCAAAGATTTTCCATGTTCTCACTGAGTGCAGAATTATACTCATTATTCATTATTTCCTGTGATAAACCTTGGGCCGTATCCATAGGCTATGAGCACAAAAGAAGACCTCCTTCCACAGTGATGAATTCTAACAATGGCCATGAGGTTTGTGGTTGGAAATGAAGCACGGCAGCATACAAGCTGAACGCAATTCTTTATTTATGCCTCATTTACGTCAAATTCACTATATCTCACTTTCCTCCCTTTCAGGTTTGCAATGACTGCTGGCAAGGTAGATTGTACAGCACTTACAAATGGGTATTACTGAGATTTCTTCATCACTTTTTTTTTTTTTTGCAGAATAAAACTATCTTAAGTCTATAAGAAGGCTTTTGTGAAGATTAAAATGAACTTCATTGATCCCTGATGAGAAATAGAGCCAAGACAGCTGCAAAGGAAAGATAAAATTACCATAAATAGAAAATAACTTGCATCCTAAATGCAAATACATACAGTAAAAGCTGGTAAGACAGAATTTACTATACTTTTCACTGAATTTTCAGATGCTGATGGAGATTTGCATAGGATATTTACCTGATCACAAAAGGTGCCCGGGTGTGCGAATACAGTTGTATTTCTTTTCTTATTTTTAAAGTGAATAAATAAAGTAAAGAGCACATTAAATGCTGATATTTCCATAGAGGGTATAAGTTATAGTGGGCATGCTGTTTCCTTCATAGCATGCAAAAGATTATGGACTGACGTGTTTCACAGCACTCTAAACATGAAATAAGACTAATGATGGAACACGATTGCCTACTAAAATACAGTTCATCACATTTCTGAATGCATCATTCGGATGCACATTTATCCATCAGCGTTTCATGCTTTACCATCAGCAACAAAGTGATATTTGCAGGAAATAGCGTGAAGCAAATGTAGTATATTACCCTTACCATTTAAAGTAACAACTATGCTGTACGCAGAGTCATCATTAAGCTAAAATGCAGGCATTGGGTGCACACTGGACCAACCCAAATAATATAGAAGGAAAAACTATCAACTCAAGGGAGTATTTTGCTAGCATGGTGTGGCTACACTTAGACAGAATGGTCACTGCAAATCAATGCAGCATTGTTTTGAGTGATTATATTTATCCTGTGATGAAACATTTTTATCCTGATGGAATAGTCTCTTCCAGAAAGACAGTGCCCCAACTCATATGGCAGAAAGGGTCACTGAATGATTTGATGAGTATGAAAATGATGTGAATTGTTTGTTATGACCTTTGCAGTCACTCTATCTCAACCCAGATGAATACGATGAGAGATTTTGTCTTAGGCACACTCTTCACTACCATCAGCAAAACAGCAGAGTGGGAAATATCTTTTGGACGAGTGGTGTTTCAGCAGAGTATCAATGCAATGGCACACCAAGGAAATGGTGGCCGAGGAATTTACCATGGCCCTAATTTGTCTATCTAATTCAAATGGCCTAATATCTGTGAATAGCACTTTGGGATTGCCAAATTACCTTATATTCTACCATTTTAGATGTTGAGCAGATTAGTTTGTCACATTTTGCACATTTTCTGTTAGTGAAAATGTAGCATCTATTTTTTTATTTAAGTTAGTTTAGGTAGTGTTTAAAAAAATCTGTAGATACTGTTTTGCTGTTTTAGCAAAGAAGCCTGAAGTGTCTCTATCCAATAATCCACCAAACACTTGAAGTGGATACAGTCAACACTGGACACCAAAGCTCTGAAAATCCATGATCATATCTCATGGAAAACTGCCAGCTGCGAGGCCATGCTACTTACATACAAGCTCTGAACCACATGCTAACTGATCTTCTTATTGAAAAAATTACATAACGACCAATGTGAAAATCACAACGACACAATGGCAAGCTTTCTAATCAGCTCACGATTGTAGTCAAATATAAAGCTGGAAATAATAGATTGCTGTCAGAGAAGGCTCTTCCCATGTGGCACTAATGAGAGGCCGTGTGGATTTGAAAAGGCCGGGATCAGTCTTTGATCACAGCTCACAGTGAATGCTGGAAGCACTGTTTGAAGCATCTTTTTAAAGAGTCGCAGTCTCACTGTTTGCAGACAGGGTTCTCCCTCTAAAACATCTGAGCCAGGGATCCAGGCAGCACTCACCCAGACTTAATCAGCTAATATCAGTAGTCCACATGTAACAAAAGTAGTGGATCCATTTTGTGGGAAACGGGAGAAGACGCTGGCATTGTGAAGGGACAGCAGCACATAAATGAGGAGGATGAAAAATTAAGTGTTCTCACTGCCTAAAATGAGTCGGTTTGTTGGAGGTGGGCCCTTACCCTGTAACTCTTCAATTAATCCTCGCAGGTGTTGACTCTTTTATGTTTCTGAGGAATGTCACATACGCACTGGTCTCTCCTGCTCAATGTGAGAGGAATACTAATGAACCAGGGGTGCAAGGGGACTGTGAAGTTCCCCGCCAGATGGCACAGAGATTATGACGACAGCAGGCCAGCATGTGTAATGCAGAGCTACCAGTGTGGATGTCTCCTAGCATCTCTCACAGGCTCCCCTCGATGTGGGATATCAGGTGATATTTAACATTGCCAGTGGCCATGTTGATAGTGGAAGTTTCTCTCCTGAAAGGAAATATGTTTTGTTTGTTCTTAAGTGACAGCTGCTGACATTGTGAATGCAGCAGATTTAGTAGCTAAGATAGGATCTCCTGCAGTATGTTTTTGAAGCTGAAGCTTCCTGTATCTGTTTTTAATGTCTGCATAAGAACTCACAGTTTCAATGAACTGGCATGTACAAGACCAGAAGTAACCCAAACGGAATGCAATCGTAATTATGCAAATGGTAAATGCACTGATACTTGTATAGCACTTTTCTACTTTATTGGAGTACCTAAAGTGCTTTCTTATTAAACGCCTCATTCGCCCATTCATTTATAGAAATGACTTTTTCTGTGCTTAAATGCTTTTAAACTAACCTTCACATTCACACTCTGACGAATGCGAACTCAGTGTTCAGGATCTTGCCCAAGTATATTTTGGCATGTAGACTAGAGCAGCTGGGGATTGAACTGCTGACCTTTTGATTAGTAGACGAGCCAATCTACCTCCGGTTACACGTGGTTCCCTCCTTTTACATGTCACAATGCTTGGTTGATCAATCAAGATGATAAGTATTAGCATAAATAAAGCCAATGTGGAACTGGCTTACACTTGCATTCTATCTGAAGACTACCAGAAGAGAAAA